TTTTATTCTATTTAATCACTTTAATTTTTTTTGAATTTTCACGTTAAATAATTACTAACATTTTCATCCAAAAAATGAAAATTAATGAAAAATTTCAAAACATATATCATTCGACTCGATTTTCGACGCTAATTCAGAATATGATATTTTCCCAGTAAGGTCAGCGAAGGAACAAAATTTCACAAAAGTGTCATATACTTTTAGTGTCCGTGAGTTGACAATTCGAATGATGTATGAAAGTTGAGAAAATCTCTTGATGCAAAAAAGGAGATAAGTTTGCTAGATCCAGTGGCTACTCTAAGCCACATGGATGCACTCAGTTTCTGATGTTGAATCCGAATAAACTAGTTTCAGCAACGTAGAACGGATGCAAACAGGAGAAATCTTGATTTTTCTCGAAATTGTTCATATTTTCATTTTTAGAGAAGTAACTTGTATTTTCAAGATTTCTCATCCAAAACGTGGTTTAGAAAATTAAAAATCTTAAATATTCGGAATCTCCTCGTCGAGTTCTCTCCAACCATGTATGATTCGGCCAAAACAATTTTTTGCTTACCTTTTGCATTTCCTACACCCTATATATAATAAAGATTTAGAATGCAATTCAAATCTTTGAAAAAGACCACTATATAGATTGGCGAAATCGATTTTTCATTTCTAAGGGAGTATCTTAAAAATTTAAAATCAAGAATCGTATACATTTATCAAAAAAGCTTGACTTGTTAAAGTGTGTGAACATCTCTACACTGAGTCGAATTATCCTTTAGACACACTACTCAAAGATACTAGCTAGTGAAAAAGGAGTATCCCAAATTCTACCAGTATGATCTTTTACTATCTATGACCGATATTTACCTCTGACATGACAATATCTTGACAATTTTTAATATATTGATTTTCTGCTTTAACAATTGTTTGTAAAAATTTAATATATAACATTTTTCTTCCATGAAGTTCAATTAAATGTACAAAATGTTGAATATGTTTTTCAGTAATAGTTTTACACAATTGAACATTATTCATAAATATATAACAGCATGTTTCAACTTCTTGTTCCTATACAAAAAAGCACATAAAATATAATATTCAAAATTCATAAAATGATCTATTTTACTTCGGATATTTGATGATAATCATTGAAATAGAGTTCAAATAATTTTGCTTGATTTGTTGGATTTTCATAACAAAAATATTGTAAGAGATTGTGTGCTAATCTCATTATATGATTCATTCGAGTATCTTCAGCCTAAACAAATTGAATGTAAAAATTAGTAAAAGAAAAAATATGTACACTATTTATAAATCTATTCAATTTTGTCTATTACTTACTAGTAATTCTATATTTATATATCAAATAATTTTTAACTTACTTTATCATAGGGAATTTTTAATAGATCCAATACTGCAACGTGTACATCCATATTTCGTAATAGACGTTGTTCATTTTCTCTAGCACATAGACCATCGGACATTTCTTCAACACATAATGCCATCATTCGACGAAGAATCTAAACAAAATATATCGAATAAAATAAAAATTGAATAAGAAAAAAAAATAAGACTAAGAATAATAACAAAGACCCGAAAATGTACATTATGATCATCAGTAGATCGTGCATATTCAATTATATTGTCCGTTTTACATGCCATTTATTTTCAACATGCATTCAAATCTCATTTTATAATATTTCAAATTCTACAATTGGCAGAAAAAAGCATTTTCAAAAAAATTGCCTATTTAATTTAATTTTTTTTTTTCTATCGATTAAAAGCATAAAATTAATTTATATCTAATATTGACGAATTAATTTTCTAAGCAAAAATAAAATAAATATATTCGTCATTTATATATAATTATTCTCTAGATAATTCTAATTCAACTATGATATGATATATTTTTATATAAGAATATTTTTCTAATAATATCAAACAAATGCATGTTACGTTGTCTATTTTACATGCATCTCTCTCTCTCTCTCTCTCTCTATCTTTCTGTTATACGTGCTATCAGATAATAATAATAATAATTATCATGCAAAATCAAATCAAAAACCAATTTTGGTTAAAAGGCATGTGTATTGTATTTGTGTTTTTAAATATATTCCAATTTTAAGCCAATAATTGATATTAAAATGGAATCGATTATTAAAACACATAACATGGTGAATAAAAACAAAAGAAAATCAAACTAACAAACAGTTGTAATTATTTTAAAAAAGAAAAGTCATTGAAATTAGATATAATTTAGCATAAAGCTTTATTCAATTTCATTATGAAAAAGAAAAAAAGAAAAAAAAAACAACCCCCGTCTTTCTTTTGGTTTTTTAAAGCATAAAGTTATATAACTCTAATTATATTAGTTGAATCATATACTATTAGATTAGTCTAAAAGAATTATATGATAATAGAATCCCAAGTAAATAGATGAAAATATTAATTTTAGAAAATGAGAATAAATTGTGATAAAAATAAAAGTCATGAATTTCATTGTATATAAACAAACTGTCTCATTATGTTGTGA